GCCGCTGAGGTCCCGCGTGAAGCTGGGTCTCGGCCTAGCCTCGAGCCCGTCACCTCGAAAGCAGAGGGGGCCTGTAAGGTGGCTCGAGAAGCTGCAGCCCCGCTGCCAACGTGACCCCTCCACTCTTCCCTTTCCGTCCAAGTGGCCCTGGCCCGAGGGCAACTCTTAGGAATCCAGGGGGAAAAAAAAATTCAAGCGCGGATCTGTGTGGTGCGGGGCTCCAGCTTCTGAGCCGGAGCCCAGTCATTCTTCAGACCCAGTCGCCTGGGTGCTCTAGCCCCAAACCCAACTTACACCGGCCCGGCCTTAAGACATAATGTTTTCTCCTTCGGGCCTTCCTCCAAATCTGCTATCCCCCCTCCCCCCTCCCCAGGGCCCTTTTTCTGTAAACGCAGAGGGAGATCAGTTGTATAAGAAGGCCACCCTGGATCTGGAGGTGAGAAATCCTACCAGAAAGAAATCTCTGGTCTCTTTAACCTAAAGGCACAAAAAGCTCGAGCCTTTATATGAACCATGGTTAAGCCATCGCCTGGCACGTTTATATTTGCCTGTGTTAGACTACAGGCTTGTTTATTTAGTGGACCCCTAGAGGCTAGGAAAAGCAGGCCGGAGGTGGACTTCAAAAGAAAGCCCAGTGTGGGAACGCAGTGTGCTGGATCTGGTGGTCCTTACCGCTTGGAGCGTTTGAGAGTACTGTATAGCCTAACTTTGGCTCTTTGGTGCACTTAACGGGGGATTGTTGGTAAGGTGGAGCTTTTTTGCCTCCGGGCGTATTCCTGTACCAGCCTAGTTCCCAGCTCTGGAGGCAGTGGGTCAGAATGACAGCGGAGATGGGGAACACTCTGGGTCCTTCAGAACTTTAATTTGGAAAGACTTTAACATCCAACAACTGAAAGGCAGTCTTAATTCTCCATTTGTGTGGTCAGTAAACAGGTGAATGTTGGCTGTTGGTGGCAAGGCTACCGGGAGTGCTTCTAAAAGAACACTCGCGAGATAATACAGACATGTCCTGTGTGCTCTTTCCGCCCTCATCTTGCCTACTACATACAGCCTGAGGAGACAAAGTGTTTACTTTGACATTTTTTTATGTGGCTGGACATGACTTTTTTCAGTCGTCTTTGCTCAAACCCTCTTTGCTGGGAACTACCTACCGTATTAAAATCACAAGCATGGTTTACCTAGACAATATTAGGTCCTGCTGGGGGATCTTTAGGGAATCATACATATATCTTCAGAACCTTAGTTTGCTTTTCTGTAAAATGTAAGAGAGTAGGTAGATATTTTAAAGGCTTTTTGAGCCCTTCTGGTTTTACCAGCAAAGCATTTTGATCCCATCAAAATTACCCCATGCTGACTTTAATGCATCGTGTAGTCTGACACCCTAAATCTCTGCAGCTTAGAAGGTGCCTGACCTAAAATGTTTTTAAGTTGCTGCCTTGAATAATGTTAACATGTTTTCCCCTCCCTCACCTGTAATCGTGTAGAAAAGTACTAACAGTGTGTAGCTGTGTCCAGCTCACACAGTTACAGTGCAGCCTCCAAACAACAACCACCTTTCAGACCAAGCAACAGAATTGTTAGCGCTCTAAAGAGCCCCTGCATCACAACTCTCTCCTCAGCCTGTGCTGTTTTCAGTGAAGTTTTTAACTGCGTGCTTGGAAATTAAAAACAATTGGTTTAATAATCTGAGCAGTGTGTATTTATAGTTTGAGAATATGTAAGGTTTGTGTGCTGTAGGTAAATAAATTCTCGTGAAATTTTTTTCTGCCTCAGCCCACCAGTGTAGGGCCAAATCCTCTGGTTTCACACTGACCTGTGATCAGTAGCTGTCCTATTTCAGTTTTATGTTTTACATAACTGCTCTTGTATAAGACTTCTCAAACGTTGAATTTACATGTCAGTGCTTTTTAAGTCATTTTTCATACAGAAACCTCGTTATAATGTAGGTTTGAAATCCTTGGTTTTGGTGCTTGTTTTGTGTGTCAGTTTACATTTGTTGGGGGGGATTGTTTACAGTGTTGGGGCTCGTAAACCCAGGCCTTTGGGACTGCTGGTCAAGTCCTCTATCTACCACTGAACTACATCCCCAGACCCTGCATTACATACCAGTCCTGCCACTCCTCACATCCCCAGGTGATTTTTTATTTTGAGACAGAAAGTCATTAGGTTGCCCAGGCTGGCCTTGAACTTGAGATGCTTGTACATCAGCCTCCCACAGTGCTGGGATTATGGTCATGCTCCACCACATCTGGCTACTTTTAATTTTTATGTATCATAAAGAATATGACAAAGCTTCATTGAAAATGCTTCAAGGCCAGGGATTTAGCTCAGAGGTTCCGCCACCTGCCTGGCAAGCTCAGGGACCCAAGTTCAATCCCTGGTACCAAAAAAGAAAGAAAATGCTTCAAAATTGACTTGAATGGATTGTTTTGGTTTTTGTTTTCATTTTAGATATCCTTTGGGCGGTTGATTTTATAATGTTGTTTTGGGATTCTCAGTTAAGGGTGTACAAATGAAGGAAAGTAAGTAAAGGAGAGGTAGAGATACAAACCAACTTTTTTTTTAGTACATGTGCTGCCGAGAAGCACTATAAACCAACTTAAGAGAGATGGACTCAGCCATAAACTGAGGCCAGGTCAAGAGATTGTGAGGCAGGCTTTGGATTTCATGGCAAGGGATTTTAACGCTCCAAGAACTGAGATGTGGACGTTGACCGTTGCTTTTGCAGGAGAGACTTTGACTGGAAAAGAAAGGACTCTTTTGTTCTGTTTTAATGGCGGTACTATAGTCAAACTTTGAGCAAGATGTATATTCATGTGCAGAGGAAATAATTAGGCAAGCTTTTTAAAAATAACTGCCTTTTTAAAAAATCTTAAAACTTCTGTAACTTTAATTCAGTAGTTCTGTGAAAGTGTATCAGCCATTTTCCGTTTTTTCCACTGCTTGTAGGTAGTGGATCAGTTGACATATGTTGTAAAAAGTTATAGGAGGGTTTTTAAGTTCAAGTCATTTTGCATTTTAGGACATAAATGCAGTGATATAACATAAAACCAAGTTGTTCCCAGATATCTAGCTTTTGAGTTACTATACATATGTAGTCCTTGTGTCAGCAGACTATTTAGAACATTAGATTGTAGTGACTATCATCTTGTTTTCTGCCATTCCATTTCAGTGTCATGTAATGGAGAATTACGATTGATCTTGTTAAAGTGAGGAAGTGCTAGGAAAACTTGTTTTGAGGAGATAAAACTACTTACTAATGTAATCAGTCTGATGTTCAACATGGTAATATTGTAGCATAGCTTCTTTTTATATAAATGTAAAGATCAGAAGATCCTATTTTAGGGTCTTGTTCTCCATTAGCCTTAGGATAATAATCTTACATTTAAAATGAGAGCCTGTGGTTAAAGGGGGTTTGTGGTCATGGGAACGTGCAAAATATCCCTGCCAAGTCAGCTGATCTTGGCCTCATTAGCTAGCATTGTATTTCTATTCAGTCTTTCTAAGTTAAACTGTCTTAGACCTAATTTGTTTGGTTTGGTATTGGAAGATCGGAGGTTCTCTTTTGAACTGTGTCAGCCTCTAAGTAGTTTAAAGAATTCTTCTTGCCACCTAAATTCCACCCACTTCT